TTTATCTCTTTCCAATCGCGAGTTATTGGCAAAAATCTGTTTGTAGCCTCAAATGACCTCGGATGACCTTTCTAGAGGCTATCAGCAAAAATGACACCTTGGTCATCACGGGTGGTTCAAATCATTGTGATTCTGAAATATTTGGACTGTTCCTATGCGTACACACGGATCTAGAGGCATTTTCATTTTTCTCCATTGACTTATAATGGTAAGGTCACACCACTGACCTGACCTTAGGTCACGGATATAAAAAATCCGAGATATACAAATTGTAGGCGCCCATAACATCATGCAATCCACCAAGTTTAAAACCTTTCTGACAAACACTGCAGGCTGGACATGATTGCAAACTTTTTTTTAGGCCTGGTCAGTTAACTTGACCTGGTGACCTGACCTGACATGACCTGGGGTCAAAAATTTCACACATTGTCCAAAATTGATGTACAAAAAGCTATGCCAAGCGGCGCGGCGCTACGCGCCGCGGTTTTTTATTTATACGCAAAAAAACCGACAGGGTGGTAACATATGCCCCCCCCCCCCACTGGGGCGAAGGTTAACATAAACGTTTTATTAACTTTTATCTAAATATTAAAGAAGTTTGATCAATAATAACCTTTTTTCTAGAACGATATTACGCAAAACCCGCAAACACGCAAAAAAAACGCATGCAGAAAACGCATAGTGTAGCCAGGTCTTTCTGTGTGGCGACATATCTGATAAATCAGCAAACATGGAACAGTCATTTCACACTGCTTTTGGTAGACAATGAACTTGTCTTGCTTACTGAAGCATCTCAGGTCAAAGTGACAACTGAACAGTGAATTAATGTCGTTTTTTTTTTGACAGATATTTATGCAAGAAATCTCATAAGATCATGTTTTTGGCTATAAAATCAGCCCAATGATAATGGCGCCCACCAAACTTCATCAGCATTTTGCTTCCACAGCACCTGTTTCACCTGTAATGTTTATAAAAGGAAGGAAACAATTGTGTCATAAATAAGGGCATGGGGCATTTTACCTACCCTGGGCGTGTTACACGGTTCTCCCCTACTGTATAGGTTTTAGGTTTTACTTTTTAGATTTGGGTTGTACTGTTGTACTTGTATTGTAGGTAAGGTTAGTTCAGGTTTGGTTAGTTTTGATGGTATTAAAAAGCATCTCCGAGTATTGGTATAGCTCCTCTCCTTGCAAAAAACAAGTGTGACTGTGTTGTAAAAAGCAAGTGTGACGCCTGCTTTCCTACTACCAATTGCGCTACCTCGGAAAGGAATGTATTGCCCCTACCTACAAACAAAACGTTGCAAGAACTTATAACATCATATATCAGTTGGGCAAACTGCAGGGAGGTAATCTAAATGTAGATTAATCAAAATATTGATTATTTTATGCCCATATTTGGGCATTTGAGCAGCCCTTTGCAGAAACAGCTGTGTAGTGGCCCAGGAGTGACAGAATCACATCACTCTTTCACAAAGCAAAGTTGACATAACAAACTTCCTCTGAAACACCAAAACAGCTCTTAGGAAATTTTTGGGGTTCCTGAATTATGATGGGAACATAATCTAAATTAAGATTAAAAAATCAGCCTCAATGGGGAAATAATCTATAATAAGATTATGTCGTCAGCTGACTTATCTGTATTTAGATTACACAATCAGCTGAATAATCTTAAATTAGATTACATTCAGCTGGCCTAATCTAAATTAAGATTATAATATTTAGCATCTGAGGGGATATAAACCCCAGTATTATGATACGACAATAAGAGACGCTGGAGTGCCACGTCGTGTGCAGGGAAATAGCCAGTCTAGCGCAGAAAAGAAAAATACAGCACATTACCAGGCTTTCTGTAAGTATATGTAACTTATTTTAGAGAATAAAACAACAGAAATTAGCAATAAATATTTGTTTTTTTAAGCTCAAAAGCCATTTTAAGGTATATAAGGCAGCGTGAATGTGGAATAACAACTTAATGTACAACCGCCTGGCCTAATAATGATTTCGTCCCAGGTCGTTGCCAGCAGCACTTCCGTAATCACAGATGTAACTCAGCTTTGGTCTCCCTTGGGACCTATGGCCCTTAACAATTATTGGAAGGGTAGGTACCTAGGTACCTTGTTTGATTCCCCAGCAATGCCATATATTGCAGCCCTCTTGGGCACTGCCTTGGCCCTGGGCATGCAAATTTGGATAATTCATACATACTGTTGAGTTTCGGGTTAAAATACCCATATAACATTCAAAGCATTGCAACTATAAGTAAAAACTGCACCCCAAACCACACACATAGACTGACATTTCAAGAAAAAATATTAACAATCTAAATACATGATTATATCTGGAAATATGACAGCATAATACAATGTTTACATTTTCAGGGAGGTGTCCGAGCAACTCATTTCTACTCACTCAGACAAAGGTATTTGATGAAATGGCACCAAATATTCAGGATTTGTTTAATGATGTCTTAAGTTGTCAAAAATAACAAAAAATTGTCATGTCTGACAATATTTCGCGAAAAAACTAGGTTGAAATGACTGAGGGTAGAGCTGCGTCACTTTCGTATCAAACACACTCACCGGTTTTGTACGCTGGTGTACGCGGCAACGCCACACTTCTACCTCACAAATTTAATTTTGTTGGGTGAATAAGATGTTACCATTATTTTGGTACCATTTAAGGACCATTCCATCGAAAAACACCGTCGGGAAAAAATTATTACAGAGGGGATACACCGCGCCACGGACATCGCTAGATCGCGGCCGTAAATCGCTGTAGCAAAATTGCAATAAATGCGTTGTATTTGGCACATCTTTTCATAGTGGGATTGAATAATTGAATATTTCTTATCTCAGATATGCCGAAAAAATATTCTGAACATTTAATGAATACCGTAAAATGGGGTGTTAAGGGACAGTGGGGTGTTAAGGGACAGTTGCATGGGAAAAACTTTGAGTCATATTAACTTCCTAATTTGAGAAGGTTCAATAAAAACTTCAGTGTGGTAGTTGACACTGTTTTGCTCTTGACCATAGGACAAAATGCTATGGTTTTTCATGCAAGTGATTTGGTTCAAAAATGGATTTGAAAATCATGCCACATTTTCACAAAATTGAAACATCTCCAAAACTCTGTGTGTACCTCATAAACTAGTGGGTGTACAGGGAAAATGAATGCATAGGTGTATTGTCACATGTATTGCACATGTTTCCTGAAAAACTTGTGCAAATCCACCCATTCATTCATCATCCTCTTCCTCTTTTCCGGATACATGCATATTTTGAGGTGGAAGTGGGGTGCTAAGGGACAGGGAAGAAAAAATAAAAAATAAAATCTAAATATAATTTAATCAAGTTTTCTTTCAGTAGGCATGGAAAACACCAAATTCCACATAAAATGCTGGCAAGTTCATGCTTTTATCTCTAACACATCTTAAGTTATGTAACAAAACATCTCAACACTCTCTTTTACAATGATGGGTCAATGGAGACTGATGTATGTAAATGTGATGTCATCATAAAAAGGCCAAAACAAAGAGGGCAACATAATGACAAGTGACTAGCTTCAACATGGGTTTTTATTGATGACAGAAGATTACTTTTTGGTTCTGTTTACCTTATAATTAGCAATTTCCACAAGCATAAACAGCATTACACGTAATTGGCTAAAAAGGTCATTAGTGGTGAATGAACCTGACTTGTTTTGTGACAGAATATGCAAAACATTTCAATAAATAAATTGTGTGCCCTTCCACACCCCAATTGTGGGCATTTGATGACCATTTCTTGGAATAATATAGGTGTCCCTTAACACCCCACATTGGGGTGCTAAGGGACAGTGATGAAAAATAATAAAAAATAATATGCAGGTATAAGTCTTAAAAACTTTAATGTGGCAGGCATGTAAAGCACCAAATTCCACATAAAATGCTGACAATTTGATGCTTCTATCTCCAACCCTTCTTGAGTTATATAACAAAACACCTCAAAACTGTCCCTTAACACCCCATTTTACGGTACGCTAAAACAGGAGTAAAAACAGCTGAATGCACTTCCCCATTCCTCGGTGACCTTGACTATTCATGTCCTAACTCCCAAAGTCCAATTTCAAATGTGCCGTTCCATCCGCAATCTGTAGAATCGAGTTTCGTCTGTACCTCAGCAAAAAATCTCACAGATATGAGCATTTCTTCGACCGATATGGAGGGTTTGAATGTGGACGTCGGAAATATAATCTAAATATTGATTATCAATCCTTATATGATCATCGCTCCGCCCATTTTCGTGACGTCATAATCTGAAATTAGATTAATCTTATTTTAGATTGCCTCCCTGCAGTTTGCCCGACTGATATGTGAAGTTTTCCTGTTATATCGTGGGGCGTCTTACCCCACCCGGGTGCCTTACCCCACTCTCCCCTAATATTCATATAATTACATGCATGATTCGGCCAAAGACCAAAGTCAAAGTGGTCAAAATGCAGCATCAGTATGGAGTAGCACAAGCAGTACAAGCTTCTGTAAGCAGCACGATGGATTCTGTAACAACATGTTACTTATTCCGCACGAGCACGACAACATCAACACACAAAGGCACAAATTCATAGCTTGAAATACATCGCCATACAAACCAACGGGAAATTCGCGTATACAACAGACCACTGGATATACAGAACTCAACAGACGACGGCAACGACGGTCATCGTCATCGACGGCATCTTTTGACGCTCGGCTGTAATGTTTCATTTGTAACGCACTAAGGCAAAAGTGCATTTGCAAAAAAGGATTTTGAACTACGACTAAATAAAATAGTTTTCAATATTTCATCTCATTCTTACATTAATAAATTACGTAATATATTTATGCACAAAATTTGTATAGCATATATTTATTGCAGAAGTCAAATGCCAAATATGGTAACTTTTTTTGCTATTACGTCATTTTCTTTACATTGCCATATTTTTTAGCATTTAACTTATTACGCTTTTTAGCCAAGCCTTGACGGTAATGTGAGCGTTGCGTTCGTTGCGTTGGCGTTGCGTTGGCGTCGCGTGAGCGCGTGTGTGGGGACTGCGGCGGCATAGGGAGGAGACGTGAGAACGGTATATTGATATAAAAGGTGGGATGTGTTGAATTTATAGAAAATATTATATTCCGTATTGGTATATTTCTCTTCTTCGCCTCAGGCTGCAGTGTCTTTTTTTTAGCATGTGTGTTTCAGTTTGTAATGTTTTTTATGATGAGTGAGAAGGGTTTTTATGGACCAGTATGGTCTGGAATAAAGTCTTGTCTGTCTGTCTGTCTGTCTGTCTGTCATTTGTTCGTCGTGACAAGCGCATAACCCGCCTTTATCAAGCCGATGTTGATGTGCAATGTCACCGGAAGGCTCCCGAGGCCCGAACCTGTTGCTGTATTTAGGTAGGGCCTGGGTCAAACCAGCCCCGAACGACCGCTCGCATAACGCTCGCCCGTCACTCGTCAGCTCCATCATCCATGACCGTTGGGAGACCATTGGAGATGACGTGTTGGGACGCGGAAAGGGCAGCAAAGGAGAAGCCAAGTACCACTACGAAAGATTTGTGTGACTACATTACATATCACTCAAAAGATTGCGTGATAGCTTCAACATGCGTGATAGCTTCAACAATCTTTCAAGCTACCGTCTCAGTCTGGTTCGCCGTTGCCGTGGTGGTGCCAAGCAGGTGCCAAGGGAAGGTATCGTATCTGCGCGTCTGATCTAGGGGACTCCTGGGGTTCTCTTACAGAATAGTTTAAGGTGCTCTAAGTGTACGACAGTACGTAATGCGCGAGGGCCGATGCAGTCGCCTATATCGAGCACGCCAAGCGCAAGACGGTGGCTGCCATCATGATTCCCCCTCCTCCCACACCCCATCCCCAATCGTAATGTGGGGACGCCACGTGGAGTGCGGTCCTCTTGGCCTCCGAAGGAATGGGGTGGGGATGGGGCAGGATTCTTATTGATAGGGTGAGGGTCTGAGCTCAGCTAGTGCCATGGTGGTGCGCCTCCAGAAAGACTTGGTTATATTGGTATGGTAAGAACGGGTGTGGGGATGTGAAGGGGTCACGGTCGTCGTTATGTGGTGGAATTGACGAATATTCGTGAAAGATCTTCGTAGGATGATTGGGCGGCCAAGGATTTGTGGAAAATGAAAGTTTCGAGAGACGAAGAAGTGCGTATCCAGGAAAAGAGGGTGACACATATTTGCGGACGAATATTTGAGCAATGAAAAAAGGCGATACGAAGATTCATATCGGCATCCGCATATTTTCGTTGGCAAATATTCGACTTTTCCCCACATTTCTGCGTATAGTTTACCAAACCACGAAAGACATTTCAAGATGATAAAGTCATCGACTTTCATGGCTTTCCCTGAGCTTAATAACAGCTGTTCTGCTCTTTTTCAGATCATCGTTTACGACGTTCAACAGGCCGTCTTGCAATCGTCGAGCCGCGCAGGTCTTTGAGCCCAGACCTCATCATGTGGCTCTTCGTGTCATGGCTACTTAGTGAGATATTCAACACTGTTTATTTCCAACTATTCGGCGACCGTCTTCCCGACTCGGCCGAAATGAAACCGGTCGGCACGGTGTCCAAACTGTGCATTTATCCACTGAAGTCGGGGCGGCGCTTGGAGTCGCCTGCTCTGTTCTGTGAGCCGATGGGACCTCGGTTAGATGCCACATTAGACAGAGCCCTGATGGTGACCGATGAGGAAGGCGGCTTTCTGACAGCACGCCGCTACCCGGAGATGGTGCGTATCGTCGCGGAGCCGACACAGGGAGGCATGCGTCTCTCAGCACCTGGCGCCGGCACGATCTCCATCAGCTTCAGCGATGTCTCCGCCCTGAACTGGCGGAGGGAGGTGCGCGTTTGGGAGGACAGGCTGCCGGCGCTGGACTGTGGTGACGAGGCGGCTGCTTGGATTTCCGCTGCGATCCCCTCGCGGTCGGACGGGGCGCGTCTCTGCTGGTTCCCCGACAGTCAGACGGCGCGCCGGCCCAACGTGCCGCCGTTCCCAGTGCGCGCTGTGGATGGCTCGGCGTTCGCCGACCTCACTGGCTACATGCTGATGAACGAGGCGTCTGTGGCCGAGCTGGGCGCTCGCGTCGACCGGCCCGTCAGCGTGGACGCATTCCGTGGCAACATTGTCGTGTCGGGTAGCACGCCGTTCGCCGAGGACCGCTGGCGCTACCTGGCCATTGGCGACGCCCTGTTCGAGAACGTGAAGCCCTGCACGCGCTGCCTGTTCACCACTATCGACCCGGAGACAGGTGTGCGTGACGCGCTCGGCGAGCCGCTCAAGACGTTGCGCCGATATCGTCTCAATGACGACCCGGCGCTGCGCTCCGTGTTGGGCAATTCGCCGCTGTTTGGTATCAACCTGGGTCTGCGCAGGCCAGGCGAAATCAAAGTCGGTGATACGGTTTATGCGGCATCGTAGATATCTCCCTATATTGGTAGAAAACGGGTTAAACACGATTCCAGGGATTTTTTTAGAGGTCTTAAGGCGTTTTTATACAGTTGTAGTCATCATAGAGCAATATTTTGGTGGATGATACACGGACATGTGTCATTTTGTACTAATATTTGACAATTTAACTCTAGGGTGGTTGAATTGTTTTCGTTCATAAGCGTCAACTAACCAGTCGGTGAGCTGTTGTCGAAGCGTTCCGAACCTGAACTCATTCTGCATAGTCGTATAGCATGGAGGGTGAATGCCATTAGGACACAATAACGGGTTAAACCAAACGGGTTAAACGGGCTCTAAACGGACGATTCAAATCGCTCTTTTCCTGTTCTGGCCTCTGAGCCTCTGGAAATTTCACGTTGGGCTCGTTCAGACTACCTATATGTTTCTGCCATATTGCTTTGGCTGGATGCTAGGTGATCTGTGATTGTTGGTCAGTGCCTTTTGAGTTGCCAATTGCCATGTTATGGGGGCTGTCGCAGCAATATCTGATGTGTATTGTTTATGAGCATGGAGTGAGTAGCATTTTTGGATCGCATATCTTATGTGACTCGGGATGATGCATGTTAAATACATCACAATTATGGAATCTGATGTGTTGAAAAAAACTGTCTTTAGCTTTTTGAAGCTAGGTCACATTGAAGCGTTGAACTAAAAAGGAAAGCAGTCTCATGTGTAGGCAGTTGGGTGTAATGTCATAAGTGAATCTACGATGACGACTGTCAAGTACAGTTCACTAGTGACTACTGACTGCAGCAAGGACTGCAGTTTTGAGTCCGTTCACTCCCGCATCGAGCATCGTTATAACGCGGGAGCGCGAGTCCATTCTCTATCGTTTGCCCAGCCAGCAATTTGGCTTGACTCAAGTCCGTTTTGCCCCTGCAACTCCGACATGCCAGACTTGGGCCGGTCACCGGTGTAAACGGAATGCCGTCAGAGCGAGGGCTTGGGTCGATATATGGCTCTATTCCGGTTAGCTAGCCTTTGCCGTAGCGCTCCCGAATTGGTATGGTTTCGGACCTCCTCTCGCTCAAGTCCGGGTCCCTGCGGCTGCCACGCCCACGGCTTAAGTCCGGCTTCCTATGGCCAGGTCCGGCTACCCTGTAGTGTAGCTGCTCTGGCTTACTGTGACTGAACTACGGTTGAGGTACGGCACGGCTGATGAGGCATAAGTCCGGCTGTGGTGCAGGCATGGAGCTCCGGGATCATGTGTCAGCTCCAGTAGAGCTCCAGACCTTTACCCCGGAGCTAGCCAGAGTAAAACCAGCTACGGCCCACTACGGCCCAAACCAAATTTGCTGGGTGGGTGTTGGCTTCGCTAGAGATCATAACGTGTCGCGACTCCTCCAGCTGAGGTTTCTCGGCGATCGGCTGCGGCGGTCCTTCTCAGTCTTTTGGCCCTGACCTCTGGGTCGCTTCCGGGAGCCGCAGGAAGCCCCTCCCCGGGTACTCACGGCTAGGGGCGTTGTCATCTAGTCATCTAGGTCTAGATGATCATCTAGCGTTGTCTCACTGCACCTACCTCCTGAGATTTCAGGACTAGGGTGGAGGTCACGGCGATAGTGGATTTCTTGCCAACCAAGGATCTCGAACAATGCCTTGATCCTCGAAGCGCCCCGATGAATCGATTTTCGATATAGGTCCCGTTAGCTTGGTAGTCGGATCTTGGTCGGATCCAAGTTTCCAGAGTAGGTAATAGGTAAAAACGATCATGCGATGGGTAATGGGCCATTCTTAGACCCAAGGCCCTATATAGGCGCTTAGACCATGCCGGCTATGCTATGGGGCACTTCAAAGTAAACCTAGTAACTTGAAATTAGGGGATGCGGTGGGTCGGAGGGAAGCTAGCTATATATTTTAAAAAAAATCATTTTGAATTCTAAATTGAATTCGAGTCCAGCACAAGACGGTGCAGGTTGGTTGGTTGGTTTTGCAGTAGCAAGTGCAGTAGACAATAGGGCATAGGCTGCAGACAATAGGCCTATATATGGCCTATTGTCATATATGGACTATATATGGCCTTGCAAGAGGCAATAGACAATCATAAAACGGCAGTTTCACGAATCACGGCCATACTTCTTGCTACAAATCAAGGCTATATAAACCAGGTAGAACGCTCCGGGAAAAAAGTTGGAAACAATAAATTAGTTGCGGCATTCCCTGATGACGCGAATGTGGGTCAGCGGCCGGCGGCCGGCGGCCGCTAACACTGTATGAGGATGAATGCACGGAACTTTTGCTTGTTGGAGATTGCGCTAGGCAGTTATTTGTTAATGTTAGGATATGTTTCGAAAGTAAATTGAACGACGCTTCGAACGCCGTCAATGAATTTGCGATACGACGACTATTTGTTTAGTTAGAGCCGGCGAACTTTTACCTTCCGACCGCGCGGGGAGGCGATATGGTGCCACACTGACGGTTTTCACGACAGCTCAAAATTCTTTTGAGCTAAAGAGCTGAAATTTGACATGTCCAATCTTTTGATCAAGCTGGATCTTCTGGTACAAGTCGCATATTTAAGGTACGTCAGGTTGTTGAGCTATGTTGTCGCTCGTGAGCCTCTACACAGTCCAAAAACAACGCAATTTCTGAACACTCAGTGCCAAGAAATCCTTCACTGAAAGATGACACTTGGCGGAAAGAATGGCTGTCGGTTTCTTACCGTTCGTATGTATTGTGTTTTCACAAGAGTTTAGTAAGGTCAGGTCCCTCACGTCACCTCCCCTCATAACTCAATAGGACTAGGTGTACTATCATAGAAGCGTTTATCAATCGCCGGAAATCTTAGCCAATCCCACTGGACACTGGATCCATACCCACATGGGGCCCTCCTGACTGGCCACTCCCTCTGAAATCCACAATAACATTGGGCTGCGGCCATGGTTATGTATTAATGCTTTTCACTAACAGGAATACAACAACTTCAACCAGCACAGTGCACGCCGACACAACAGTCCGACCCACGTCCCTGATATCGACTAGCACTCGGCCGGATGCACATATGCGGAGCCAATCAGTCCGAATGTGACCTGCAGCTTACAATTGCTGTGTCGCATGGCGCATGGCACAGGACGATTCCTAGCAGCTGTCGGCTGGAGTGGAGAAGCAGCACGTTGCGACACACCGCGCCGACGACAGAGCTCAGCAGGGCTGGTTGGAGGCTGGAGCCGGAGGTAAGGGCGGACACAGGCACAGACATTGCAGGACAAATAACAGGATGTCAGTTAGGGATATAATTCAAGACGAATGATTCAAGACGGACTGAAATAATGCACATTTTGCTCAATTGGATACCAACTTCAAACTTGACGTTTATAGCACCACGGAAACAATGGCCACACAGGAAAGAAACAAAAGATGAGGTGTTTTTAACTCAAGGTAAATAGAGGTTGCACAGTGTGGCTAAATTCATTTTACGTTAGGGGGAGGATGTAGAAAAAAGGCCGGAAAGGATGTCGTTATTTTAATAAAATTTGACTTTGACCTTTTTTAAGCACTGTTTTTATACATGTCACGATAAAATGATGTAGAAACTGAACTTTGAGGGCATTCTGATATTCGGGATGTTAAATGAGGTTTTTAAGTCGGGTCATATATTTTATCATTTTGGTTATTCGAATGGTTGTCTTGGCGTGTTGTCAGAGTTTGCGAGGTGTGTGTTTCTCTTGCTCCTAGACGTTTGGGTTCGAGGTTGTTATTATAAGTCGTGACTGCCGTGTGGATGTTTTTATTTTTAGGATTTTTATGCTGCCGACCGACTTTTAGGATGTCATTATGCTTTTCATTATGGGTGGATTTCCCCGCAACATTACGATTTTGGACACACTGAGGTTGCATATGATGGAACAGCCCGAAGTGCAGACAAGCACATATTTTTGGTAATAGCTATCAGCTGTCCTACTCCTCTTCTCCCTTCATCAACCACTGGACACATCTGAGGAAGCACCAATGTCCATAACAAAAGCTTGCAAAGTAGTTTTATGAAGCCAAGGGAAATATGCCTACATCATGCATGTAAACTCAAAATTACACATGCATGACAAAGGAAGCTTATGTAAAGAGAAGAGTTGGCAAAAGCATTTCATAGTTAAAATTATTCAAAACTGCACACAGGGCAAACATAAAAAGCAGCAAGTGTGCTGTTCTGTTATGCTAAGAAATAGTCCAAAACAAAATACATCTTTTCATGTTTGAACTGGTTGTTCTTCAATGCCACTTCATCCATATCTTGATTACAGATGGGCTGTTGGTGTAGGCTGATGAAGTGACACTTGATTGCCTTTGTGCGAGTTTCAGTTGCAGCCTCCTGGGTACTGCACTGGAAAGCAGATTCAATTGAATGCCTCTGAAAGATAGGAATACAGGCAAAGTTAGCTGTAGTAGTGTCAATGATAATAGACATGACATTTTTGTCCTTTGACATACATTTGTTGAAGTACAAAAAGGTACAAAATAAATTGGTTTGTTTCCAGACACGCGCACTGCACAAAGCCGCACAGACATATTACAAAGGGATATGAAATTAGTACACATAAAACTTGATGATTAAAAAGGTCAAAACTTGCAATAATAATTGAAGTAAAAGTTACAATCACAATCATTTGAATTAAAATGACTTGACAAGTCACAAGACGCAACACTCCTATTCACATAAGAAAGGTTTTTATGCTTTCATTATCATCCACATATCAACCAGCTTGATACCAGGCTGTGCAATAGTGTGTACATAACCCCATGTTGCCATTTTATTAGAGCAAGTGGGGTTACAACAACAATGCTGATGTCAAACCCACATCTGCCACCCATACTGCAGTTTCAATCACCTTACAAGCACACCTTCTGGCAGTTTGATAGGCAGAATGGTCATTACTACTTTCTCCTCATATTCAACACATATTCCCTTTATGCAGATATAGTTTAGAGACCTGGTTATGGCAAGCATTTTCGAGAAAAGATATGATTAAAGTCCAAGACAAAGGTCGAGAGAAACAACACCAACATAAAACACCGACTATGTAGCACTAATACTGTCAAATTCATAAAAATATATACATAAGTCGATCAGAAATTCACTGTAGATTTCGAAAATGGTGTCAAATGCCACTCAAATACCCCCAGTCGCATGTACGAAGCAATAAAACACTGACCTTCAATTCCGCGTGCCATTCTCCATAGGCCACTGTGTATTAAATAACGCGTTCACTGATAGCAAAAAATGAGACCCACATATGACGCGTTTGCTACCAGCCAATCAGCGCTCGAGATGCCGAACGCTGATTGGTGGAGAGGGCCGTCGTTGGCAGTCCATTACACGTTGTTTTCCTGGAACATGTGCGTGAGCGCTGATGCTGCTCACGGGTTGTTGCCATTTTTCGTAATGCTAAAGGCACGGGAGCGAACCCCCCTGCTACAAATGCAGCGCAATTTATGTTCGAAGTACCGAGTCGGCAGATTTTCGTTTTCCAAACCAGTTCCAAACAGCTTACTCATTCGCCGAAACCCGGGCTGGTGCCTGCTAACGACGTAATCAGCAGAGTTTGGATATTTTTTGAACATTGGTTTCGCGAGCGCTTCTAAATCTAGCGC